TTACTAATATTATTAATTATAACTAAGTAATATTACTATATATATATAGATAATAAAATGCAATAAACATGAATACAAAATATGTAAAAGAGTTTAAATGCTACAAGAAAAATTTTAAACTTTATCTTTTATTCCAGATCCTGAATTATTAAAAAATAGCAAATATTAAAATTTTATTTATTATTGCTATTTACTAAAAGTTTATTTAATTAATAATATATATAATTAAAATTAGTATTTAATTAGTTGTATAATATTAGTTAGATAAACTATTAAAATAATTATAGATTGCTAGTGAAGTAATACAAATTATATATTATTAAAACATTTATATTAATTAAGTTATAAAATTTATTAGATAAAAAACTATTATAAAGATTTTGATAAAATTTATAGCAAACCAATATCAGAAAAATTTTGCTCTTCAGCAATGAATACAACTATTAATGAAGAAATAAAAAAAAAAACCAGGCTAATTTATTAATTCAAAAATTTGATAAACAATTTTATATAAATACTGTAATAAAATACAACATATCAGCAGATTGAAAAAATTGGGCCTAATTTTATGTCACTAAATTTTTGTTGTGTGTAACATAATCATAAGATATAGTAGCTTAGTAAATAATTATTGGTCACTAGATCATTTGAAGTTCTGAAAGACTTCAATACAAAGAAACTTAGTAATCCATCAGTTGTATAAAGATCTCATCAGTTAGTTGTAGAGTAAGTGACTGAGTTTAATAATATATTTGTTATTATGTCCAAAAATAGCTTTTTTATTGTAAATTATACTGTTTAATTTTTAATATCATCAATTCTAACAATATCAACTTTAAACATATCTCAGAGCGATTTAGAATGTAAATTATGTAAAAAGATCTATAAACGACCTTCAAGCTTAGCTAAGCACGAACAATTAATTCAAGATGCCAATATTATAAGATCAACTATATATGATTTGCCTGAAGAGGCTATTGAAAAAACACGTAATATGTTAGTTTATCATATAAAAGAGAGACTAAAACAACATTCAAAATATGCTAGAAATGTTCGCATTATGGTTAATTGTATAGAGAGTTGGTTTTTTAGTGTCTTTAAAAGATATATACATAATTTTTATTCAAAAACAGGGGTTATAAGTGTATATTTAAAGGTATTGATTCTTATTTTATTTTATCTCAAATATTAAGAGATGATAATTAGGGTACTAAATATTTTTTACAACATCAAAAAACATTTGTTTTATTATACCAATTGCCATCAAGAAATGTTCGCATTATGGTTAATTGTATAGAGAGTTGGTTTTTTAGTGTCTTCAAGAATCTAATTCTCATCAAGAATCTAATCCTCATCAAGAATCTAATCCGTTTCAAGAATCTGATCCTCTTCAAGAATTTGATCCTCTTCAAGAATATGATTCTCTTCAAGTATCTGATTCTTTTCAAAAACCTGATCCTCTTCAAGAATCTAGTTCTTTTTCACAAATTAATCTTATTTGAGATACTAATTTTTTTTAAGGTAATAGCAGTTATATTAAAGTTAAAATTTAATTTTTTTTTTAAACATTTAATTTTCTAATTTTTTAAAATATTTAATTATTTCAAGGATCTAATTCACTTCAAGAGTTAAATTTTTTATATGAATCTAATTTATTTCAAAAATCTGATTCACTTCAAGAGTTAAATTCTGTTTATGAATCTAATTTATTTCAAAATCAAATACTAGTATCAAAAAAAAAACTTCCTAAACCAAAACCTGTTCAATTTATTATTGGGTGGAAAAAAAATAAAGTTTGATGTACGTAATATTACTTATTTATCAGAATTTATTTTTATGAATTTTATTATTACACGCACAAAAATCACAGAACATTTTTAATTATTATTATTTATTGTTTTAACATATTTATATATATATAATTGATTATAATAATTAATAAATTTATTAATATTGTTTTGCTTTAAATTTAATATCTTAGTTTATTTAAATGCGCAAATGCTTTGGTGTTGAAATTAAGTCAATTTCATTGCAATTAAAATATAAAG